TCCTGAGCTATAACCCACGAAAATTTTCCATTTAGGCCCATTTTCGGCCTGGTGCAGACAATTAGGCGGTGTGTATATTTCGCGATTTCGTGAGCTATATAACCGATGACTTCTGGCACATTTTGTTAGTTTCGGTCCGTTTCACCCCGGCGCTAGAAATTTCATGAGCTATAGTCCGTATGATTTCTGACCGTTTTGGTCTGTTCGATGCCCTGTGTCAAAATATCTTTGCCGAATTCAAAACCGATGATTTCATGAGCTATAACACATGATTATTGACCCTTCTCGTTCGTTTGTGATAGGCGGCAAATAATTTGGTGGAAATCAAATATCGTGATTTCATGGTTTATAACCCATGGTTTTACGACCGTTTCGGTCTGTTTTGACCCGGGCGCGATTTCATGGGTTATAACCCATTGCTCGAATTTCACGAATAAGTGAGCTATAGGCAACGATTTGTCCCCAACTTCTACGGTTTCTTCCGACGGCAAATGGCTCGGCAGAGTCAAATTTCACGATTTCGTGAGCTATAACCTACGAAATTTGTCCATTTACGCCCCTTTATCAACCGGGGAAGATAAATAGATGGAGTGCATATTTCACGATTTCGTGATCTATATCCCATAATTTCTAACACATTTTGTTAGTTTCGTTCTGTTTCGACCCGTCGCCAGAAAGCTTTGATGAATTCAAAACCAACAATTTCTGTGTTGTAACACAAGAATTTTAACCATTTTATTCTTTTCCTATCAGGTTTCGGAAATGTCAAAACAAATGATTTCATGAGCTGTAGTCCGTATGATTTCTGACCATTTTGGTCTATTCGATGCCCCATGTCAAAATATCTTTGTCGAATTCAAAAGCGACGATTTCATGAGCTATAACACATGATTATTGACCCTTCTCGTGCGTTTGGGCTAGGCGGTAAATAAGCGATTATCCGTTGATTTCATGAGCTATAACACGTGATTATTGACCCTTCTCGTGCGTTGGGGCACTACAGCAAATAATTTGGCGGAGTTCAAATACAGCGATTTCATGGGTTATAACCCATTGTTTTTCGATCCTTTCGGTCCGTTTCAACCCGGATGAGATTTCTTATGTTATAACCCATTGTTCGAATTTCACGAGTTCGTGAGCTATAGGCAACAATTTGTCCCCAACTTTGACGATTTCATCCGACGGTAAATGACTCGGCAGAGTGAAATTTCACGATTTCCTGAGCTATAACCCACGAAAATTTTCCATTTAGGCCCATTTTCGGCCTGGTGTAGACAATTAGGCGGAGTACATATTTCACGATTTCGTGAGCTAAATAACCCATGACTTGTAACACATTTTGTTAGTTTCGGTCCGTTTCACCCCGGCACTAGAAATTTTTGTCGAATTCAAAACCAACGATTTCATGAGCTGTAATTCATGAATTTTGATCATTTTATTCTTATTCGGCGTGTGTCGTAAATGTCAAAATGGACGATTTCTTGAGCTGTAGTCCGTACGATTTCTGACCATTTTGGTTAGTTCAATGCCCTATGTCAAAATATCTTTGTCGAATTACTTGTGACACATTTTGTTAGTTTCGGTCCGTTCACCCCGGCACTAGAAATTTTTGTCGAATTCAAAACCAACGATTTCATGAGCTGTAATTCATGAATTTTGATCATTTTATTCTTATTCGGCGTGTGTCGTAAATGTCAAAATGGACGATTTCTTGAGCTGTAGTCCGTACGATTTCTGACCATTTTGGTTAGTTCAATGCCCTATGTCAAAATATCTTTGTCGAATTCAAAACTGACGATTTCATGAGCTATAACACGTGATTATTGACCCTTCACGTACTTTTGGGATAGGCGGCATATAATTAGGCGGAGTTCAAATATCGTGATTTCACGGGTTATAACCTATGGTTTTACGACCGATTCGGTCCGTTTTGACCCGGGCGTGATTTCATGGGTTATAACCCATTGCTCGAATTTCACGAATTCGTGGGCTATAGGCAACGATTTGTCCCCAACTTCTATGGTTTCTTCCTACGGCAAATGGCTCGGCAGAGTCAAAATTTACGATTTCGTGAGCTATAACCCACGAAATTTGTTCATTTACGCCCCTTTTCGACCTGGTGTAGACAATTAGATGGAGTGAATATTTCTCAATTTCGTGTGCTATAACCCATGATTTCTGTCACATTTTGTCAGTTTAGGTCTGCTTCAAAGAAATCATTGCCAAATTCAAAACCGACAATTTCATGAGCTGTAACCCTTGAATTTTGACCATTTCTTCTGTTCCGGCCGTGTGTCGGAAATGTTGAAACCAATTATTTTATAAGCTATTATCTGTACGACTTCTTAACATTTTGGTCTGTTTGACGGCCCGTGTCATAGTATCTTTACCGAATTCAAAACCGATGATTTCATGAGCTATAACACATGATTATTGACCCTTCTCGTGCGTTTGGGCCCGACATCAAATAATTTGGCGAAGTTGAAATACAGCGATTTCATAGGTTATAACCCATGGGTTTTCGACCGTTTCGGTCTATTTCAACCCGGGTGAGATTTCTTATGTTATAACCCATGGTTCGTATTTCACGAGTTCGTGAGCCATAGGCAACGATTTGTCCCCAACTTCGACGGTTTTTTCCGACAGTAAATGACTCGGCAAAGTGAAATTTCACGATTTCCTGAACTATAACCCACGAAAATTTTCCTTTTAAGCCCTTATTCAGCCTAGTGCAGACAATTAGGCGAACTGCATATTTCGCGATTTCGTAAGCTATAACCCATGACTTCTGACACATTTTGTTAGTTTCGGTCTGTTGCACCCCGCCGCTAGAAATTTTTGTCAAGTTCAAAACCAACGATTTCATGAGCTGTAACCCATGAATTTTGACCATTTTATTCTTATTCGGCGGGTGTCGTAAATGTGAAAACAGACAATTTCATGAGCTGTAGTCCGTATGATTTCTGACCATTTTGGTCTGTTCGATGCCCCGTGTCAAAATATCTTTGCCGAATTCAAAACCGACGATTTCATGAGCTATAACACGTGATTATTGACCCTTCTCGTGCATTTTAGCTAGGCGGCAAATAATTAGGCGGTGTTCAAATATCGTGATTTCACGGGTTATAATCCATGGTTTTACGACCGTTTCGGTCCGTTTTGACCCGGACGCTATTTCATGGGTTATAACCCATTGCTCGAATTTCACGAATTCGTGAGCTATAGGCAACGATTTGTCCCTAACTTCTACGGTTTCTTCCCACGGCAAATGGCTCGGCATAGTTAAATTTAACGATTTTATGAGCTATAACCCATGAAATTTGTCCATTTACGCCCTTTTTTCAGCCGGTGTAGATAAGTAGACCCAATAATTTTTGTGTTGTAACCCATGAATTTTGACCATTTTCTTCTTTTCCTATCAGGTTTCAAAAATGTCAAAACCGATGATTTTATAAGCTATTATCTGTATGATTTCTGACCATTTTGGTCTGTTCGACACCCCGTGTCAAAATATCTTTGCCGAATTCAAAACCGATGATTTCATGAGCGATAACACGTGATTATAGACCCTACTCGTGCGTTTGGGCCCGGCGACAAATAACTATGCGGAGCTCAAATATCGCGATTTCATGGGTTATAACGCATGGTTTTCTGACCGTTTAGGTTCGTTTCTACACGGGAGCGATTTCATGGGTTATAATAACCCATTGTTCAAACTCACGAGTTCGCGAGCTGTAGGAAATAATTTTTTCCCAACTTCGATGGTTTCGTCTGACGGCAAATGACTCGGCGAAGTCAAATTTCATGATTTCGTGAGCTATAACCCACGAAATTTGTCCAATTACGTCCCTTTTCGACCCGGTGTAGACAATAAGGTGGAGTGAATATTTCTCAATTTCATGAGCTATAATCCATGATTTTTATCACATTTTGTCAGTTTCGGTCTACTTCAACCTGGCGCAAGAAATCTTTGCCAAATTAAAAACCGAAAACTTCATGAGCTGTAACCCATGAATTTTGACCATTTCTTCTGTTCTGGTCAGGTGTCAGAAATGTTGAAACCGATTATTTTATAAGCTATTATCCGTACGACTTCTGAACATTTTGGTCTGTTTGACGCCCTGTGTCAAAATATCTTTACCGAATTCAAAACCGGTGATTTCAGGAGCTATAACACGTGATTATTGACC